CCCCCCCACTGCAGTCCTCGCGCCACCTGCTGCCCAGCACTCGTATCTGGGAGCGGAGGTTGCACGGGAGGGGGAGGGGGAGGGGGTTGAGGGCGGGGCTGATACTCCCGGGGGTGGAGCTTCCCTAGGCCACGCCCCCTGCCGGCTCCACCCCACTCCAAAAGAACTGCAGACGCCGGCCCGGCTGGGTTTTTGGTGATGTTTATTCTACAAAGACATTGGAAAGCTGCTAAAAGAGCAACTTCTCTGGCTCCGCCCCTTGTGCCCCACAGGCTCCGCCCCATGGGCGGGGCTCCGCAGACAGCCCGCCCCCTGGAGGGGGATGGTAATGGGAGAGCAGCACCCATGGGGCGTGGGCGGGGCCTTTAGAGAGTAAAGCAGAATCGGGAGGGGGCTAAAAAATGAACTCCCCCCGCACACACACCCAGGGCAGGGCCAAGCGCCTCCAGCAGGGGGCGCAGGGACCCCCCACACACTCACACCCCACCCCGCCCTAGACTAATGTGAGAACAGGACCTGCCTAGTTTCTATGGGTCATTGGGGTGTCCCTGGGGTACCTAGGGGCTGCGGGGATCTGGGGGCACTCGGGGGCCCTGAGTTACCCGAGGGGCTGATGGGCGGGTGCACCCTACTATTGGGGTGCAGGGCATCAGTATAGGGGTGATCTCTGGGGGGGCTGGTGGTTCAGTAGGGAGAGGACGGGGGTCTTTGGCTGATGCACTCCAAGCCTGGGGTGCAGGGCATTGTAAGGGGGTACAGGGGAGGTTTGAGGTCACCCCCAGTATTAGGGAGCAGGGTGGCTTGAGAGTCAAGATGGGGGGAGGAGGTAGTTTGCTGATGCACTGCAGTAGGGGGGCACATGTGTTGATAGTGGGGTGCAGGGGCTGGCTGGTGCACCCCCCGCTCGGGTGCAGGGGGCTGATATTGGGGTACAGGGAATGGCCAGCCATGGGTGCAGGGGGTCACTCAGGGGGAGCTGGGGGGTGCTTGGCTGCTGGTGCTGTTTTTTTGGGGTGCAGCATCAGTGGGCATGACCGGCATGCAACAGGGGAGTCCAGCCCCCCCCCATTGTCACAGGGAGGGTTCCCCACCCACCCACCCCGATCCACACGAACATCGATCCTGTTCTCAAAAAAAATTCCCTCCCCCTGTAACTTACTCCCCGCGGGAGGCACGAAGGGAAACCACAGAGTCACCCCCACGATCCCCCTGCTCCCCCCACAGGGCCCGTCACACTCCCCCTGGTGGCAAAAGGGGGTAACACCGCTGGGGCTGCAGAGAGCCTGTAGACGTCATTCAGCCAGTGGGCGCCCCCTGCAGGCCAGAGGCGGAAGGACACCCCCTGGGGCCTTCCCGGAGCAGCGCCCCCTGCAGGCCAGAGGGGAATGACACCCCCTGGGG